TCTCCTAGCGCGTCCCCTTCCCCGACGTGAGGGAGAAGAGCCAGTCGATCCTCAGCGGGGTGCAGGTAAGCACGGCAGACCCTCCACCCCCCGGGACATCCCCCCCGGGACATCTCCCCGGCCCCGTCCCACTCACAGCACCTGGTTTTGACCGATGTAACCAGCGCTGTGATCACGCCAGGTTGGCTTTCCTACAAAAGCAGGAAAGATTTGTGTATAAGCGTTCAGGGGCGCCGGTTAAACGCTTATAAATCGGGGTAGGAAGCTTTTTAGCTCTTAAAAAGCTGTACGAGCTGCGAAGCTGTTAAAGCAGAGCCTGTCAAAATTCCCTGTTTTGTTGTTGTTACTTCTTGGTAAATGGTTTATCCGCTGGAATCGGTACGATCAAAACTGGGTTTTATGGCTCGGAGGCGGTCCAGCCATCAGAGGATTACATTTAGTGACCTTTTATGCTAACAAAAATAAATGCTACGTTGTAATCTTCCAGTGTTACAGTCTAATTATAGTTACTTGCACTGCAGTTCTCTTGCTCACCTCAAGTTTTTGAGAAGGTCTTGCAATTCTGAGGCAGGGCTTGTATCGACGGGTCCAGCAGCACTGCTAAAAATCCTGTGGGAAGAGGGAGTTAAGGTGTTTCTTTTAATCACAACGAATGTGTAGAGCTGGGCTTGGAGTGGGCTGCCCGATTCCCACTACTGTGCTTTTTCTCCCTGGACATTAACAGGTTCAATAGAGGGGAATCTAGGGGGAAATAATAATTAGCATTCATTATATGTGTAATAATAATAATAATGAAATAATAATAATATACAATATGCATATAAAACATTAAATAGATGTATTTTCTATGTAATACACATGTATTTTAAAGGAACTTGTACATAGATCCATTTTTGCTCTGTCCTACTTTGCAGTGGTTCAGAGAAATTCTGAGTTGGGATCACTGAAGCTGAGAGAGGCTCTGTTTATTCTGTCTGACTTCTGCGCAGTGTGCAACGTGATAAATGCAGTCTTAATTTACCTTACACAGTTTTGGGCTGTCTGAGGCATCTTTCTCAAAGCACATTTTGCTGTAGAATCTATAATTACAAGGTGGTCTGTGTGAAAGGCTTGACAGCTATACTGCTTTTCTCTGAAAACCCAAATCAATGAAACAAAAAAAAACCCCCAAACCCAAGCAACATTAATACTAAATTGAAAACTTAATCTGGCACCTTTGAATCAGCTCCTTCCCTGTTAAAAATCCCAATGAGAAGTGGGTCCAGTGAGAATGATGAGTCACTGGAACAGACTACAAAGGGAAGACTTGGTTTTATCAGGCACAAGTTATCAGAGTTTAGTCAAAGGCCAGACAGGTGGTGAGCTGTCACCTGAGTCTTGGAGGAGGTCAGAATATAAGATCTGATGACTCCCTTTTAGGTTTTTATATATGAAGTTACTGACATGTTCAACTATTAGTACTGTATAGAAACTTCTTTTACTAGCTTATTTTGAATAGGTCAAAAAATTTTGGTAGAAAATATGTTCATCTTCATATAGCAAGTGCAAGTTACAATCTCAAGGTTGTAGCTGTCTTGATTAATAACAATAATAGCTGTGAAATTTATAACAGATGTGAAACCAATTGTATACACACACGATGATCAGAGGACTGGAGG